TCTTTCTCTTCTCTTTCTCACTTCTCTTTCTCATACACAAACGTTCACTTGAACTTCCCCATTCCCCAAATTACAACTCGAAAAATAAACAAACTATAGTATAAGAACATTAAGAACACTAATGAACTTGTGTGGAATTGACACTTGACTCGATTTGAAGCTTGAAAACTTATGTGAGCAAAGGTGAGTTTTTCCATCAGATTTCAAAGACTATTTATAGAGCAATAAACATATTGGAAAAACCTCTTTGTGCAGCAAATCCATCACGCCACTACTCATACCCACTAAGAAGATCATGTCCCTTGAATTAAGGAACCATGAACTCCTCAGTGTCCAAAACCATGACTGAAGAAGAACATGGGAGAGTAGGCCGCAAGTTTTGGGAAACATGGAGATTTTATTTTCAGAAGCTATTTTGTAAAATCAGAAATAAAAATAAAATCCTCTTTCTTGTTTAAAAAGATAATCGTTTAGAAAATAACAACTTCCCTAAAAATTAGCTAGCACAAAATTATCTTTTTAGACGAATACCACACAGTATTTCGAATGCAACTTAATATCTTATACTTACATAAATCCTAAAATATAAAATATATTTAGTCTTCATGTTCTCTAATGAAGCTTCTACTCCGAGGCTTCTTTTCCTTGAGAGGAACTTCTCTTCTCTGATGAAGCTTCTTCTCTGAAGCTTTTGTTCCCTGAGGGAACCTTCTCTTCACCAGTCTTCATTTCTGAAGCTCCAGTTCCTATGAAGGAACTCTTCTATATGGATAGCTCTGTTCTCGCCTTCTTGTTCCTCATGGTATTCTTACAAGACACTTCATTCTCCTAGTCTTTGTAACTGAGTACACACTTAAACAATCAAGCTCTTATTAGTTTGTAAGTAATTGAGGTTGTGTCATCATCAAAGTCATTAAGTCCAACAATATTCCCCCTTTTTGATGATAAAAAACAAACCAAACTTACTTACAAGGAAACAGAGATAATCCATTTTATTCCTAAAGAAAGGAAATGCAAAAAACAAAATACAATGCAGAATGGAAACTAATGTTAAGAAAATAAAAACAATGCATAAATAAATAACTGAAGGAAAAACTGAAAAACTTGAAAAAAACTTGTATATACATTATACCTGCTTGTAGAGATTAGGTAGCTTGTGAAGATTTCGAACAGAGTCTATAGAATGATTAAGTTTCCTTGATAGTTTGCATCCTTTTTCCCCTTTTGGCATTTATCAAAAACTAACATACAAGCATATAGTATACCATAACACAGCACCATCTAGTGGTTTAGTGTTAAGATAGGAAGCATGCATAGAGAAAACATTCACAAAGCATATAGGCAAAAGAAACATAGATTATAATCATCCAAAACCGATTTAAAACATCGGCCAAATGTACCAAATTTACAAGTTTACCAAAAGAAATTTAAAAAGTGCCCAAAATATTACAGACAAAATTAAAAATTGTTCCCAAAAGCAGATAAAATATAAGTTTCATCAACATAAAAAGGCTGCAGAGAAAGGTAGGTTATGAAGCAGTGCTCTGGTCATCATCAACAGTAAGATCCTCCAACTTCTTGGTGATTTGAGAAACTATGTCCTTGACAATGGACTATCTCCCCTGTTCCGAGCTTGTGACCAGTTCCTTCACATTAGCATCTAGTGTGAGTACACTCTTCTTCAGTTCCTCCATCTTAACCTTTGACTTCTCTTGTTCCTTCATCAATTGTTGGAGCATCTCCTTCATCTCCTTCACATCTTCGCTGGGAACCTTAGGTGGGGAACTGAATGCTGCAAACCCTGTACCTGCAGATGCATACTTGCCCAAAATAGGAGAGCTTGTGACTTTCTGCAAATCCTCTTGCACCCCTGTGATATCAATGCAAATGGGGGCAGAGGTCTCCTTTTTCTTCATCAACCTCAAGCTCTTCCTTTTCTTCCTTCCCCCTGTCTCAGTCACTTCCTCAACCACCTTTTCCTCTTCCTCCTCCTGAATGTCCTGCACCACTCCCTCTATTATCCTAGTAGCTCTCTCATCTTTCCCCTCAGCTATGGCACCTACTTCCTTTGGCCTTTTATCTTTTTCCTCCAGCACAACTTCAAAACATCCATCTACAACCTTCATCTTATGATTTTCTAGGCAAATAGGCTGCATGTACTCGGTGTTTTTGAGGGGCAGGGGTTCTTTATCAACAAAGGAAATGCCAAATCTTTCAAAGACATAGGTGAGAAGGTTACCATATCCCACCTTCCAACCTATTGGAACACAGTGGGAGAGGTATTGGACCATGATAGAGGGAAAGTTGATTTGGATCTTTTTGGCTAAGAAATAAATAAGAACAGAGTCAAGCTTGTTGGCACTGTCTCTCTTTTGGGTGCGAGGGATAATATCATCGAAAACAAACTTTAGCAGAATTTTGTAAAGAGGGGTTAGGTCATTGTGATTTATGTAGGTTTCCTCCGGGTCCCCACCTAGAAACTCCACTATCTCATCAGTATTTGCGTTAGGAAGAGGGTTCCTTATCACATTACTTTTAAAATATAAATCATATCCAGTATTAGGAACATCAAACAACTCAGCCAAGTACATCACATCAAACTCAATTTCTTTTTCATACACACAGCAACGAATAACACCTTTAGAGTATTTGAAACTTTTGCAAAAATCCCTCATAGCATCAACATAAATACTCCGATTAAAGCATTCACTCAACAAATTCACCCAATTTTGAGCCTCAACTAAATCAAGCAGTTCATACAACTTAACAGACTTACATCAAGGAAGATTAATAGCCAAACCTGTCACAAAGTGATCACTAATCTTCTCTTGCCTTTTCATAGCTGTTGGCTTGTCCCGGTAATTGACTCCTAGTTCCGGAGCACTCTCTTCTTCATCTTGCATGTCGTCGGACTTCCTTTTTCGAGAAGACTGGGATTCGGTAGTTGAATCCACTTTTGGAGGCTCTTGATCTTCAATGGGATCAATTTCCGGTGGGATTTCCATGGTAATGTCTGGAATTGGGTTTGTGTTTAAGTCGGCTTCAATTTGGGTTTTTGGAGAGGTAGACATTGGAGGGTAATTTTGATCGGAGTGATGAGAGAGAAGGTAATTTTTGTGTGGTGTAAATTTTTGTGAGGCTGACATCTTTTATGGTGGAGGTAAATTGGTGAAGTGAGGTGTCGTTTGGGAGGTGAAGTGAATTTAGTTGATTTGACACTCTTATTTATTGCTTAGGGAAACGCAAACCGTGTTTTATGAGAGTATTGCACTTGGGCTACTTTTGAACAAAGGATAATGATGAATATTAGATGTATTCATCTGAATTTTGTGTTTAGATAAAAAAAATTGGAATTTTTAGAATTAGATAAACACAAATACTTTATCTCTTGAATTTTATCAATAAAGAACGCATGCAAATACAACTTGATATATGGAACAAATCAACAAGGCTCATGCAACCAATTTTAGACTTTTCATATTCTATGACTTTCAAATTTACATGCCCTTAGTAAATATTACTCCTGCTCACAACCTGTCTTAACTATGTAGTTAAACATATAAAACTTGTGCACAATATACAACAGATTAAGCAAGTCAGTTAGAGCTTCATACCTGAGAAAACGTGATGTATTTTTCTCAGTATAACTTAATCATCCCAATTTCCATTCTCATCTTCTCATGCCTTTCTCTATTCAAGGGTTTTGTTAAAATATCTGCAATTTGATTGTCAGTGTGGCATAAATCTAATTTAATTAAACCCTTTTCAACATTATCCATAAGGAAATGATGCCTTATATCAATATGCTTAACTCTTGAATGATGGACTGGATCTTTAGATATGCAAATTGCACTAGTGTTATCACAGTAGATAGTAATGCAATTAAATTTAATGCCAAAGTCTCGCAACTGTTGTTTAATCTAGAGGACTTGAGAGAAACAAGCAGCTGCTGCTACATACTCAGCCTCTGCAGTAGATAATGCAACAGTATTCTGTTTCTTGGTACCCCAAGAAACTAGACAATAGCCAAGGAACTGAACCATACTTGAGGTGCTTTTCCTATTGACTAGGTCACCGGCATAGTCAGCATCTGTGAATCTTCTAAGCATAAAGTCATCACTTCTAGGATAGAACAGACACATGTCATCTGTTCCTTTGAGGTATATCAGAATTCTCTTAACAACCGTTAAATGTGATTCTTTAGGATTAGACTGAAATCTAGCACACAATCCAATACTAAAAGCAATGTCAGGCCTACTGGCTGTTAGATATAGCAATGAACCAATCATACCTCTGTAAGTGGTTTGATCCACACTTTTTCCTTGTGGATCTTCATCAAGTCTTGTTGCTGTTCCCATAGGTGTGTGATTTGTCTTGGTGTTCTCCCTGTTGTACTTTTTAAGAAGTTCCTTGAAATACTTTTGTTGGTGAATCATTATTCCTTCAGCTATTTGCTTTATTTGAAGTCCAAGGAAGAAATTTAATTCACCCATGATGCTCATCTCAAATTCACCACCCATCAGCTCAGTAAAGTACTTGCATAAACCATTGTTAGTAGCACCAAATATAATATCATCTACATAGATCTGTACAACTAACAAACCAGTTCCTCGATATTTAAGGAAAAGAGTTTTGTCTACTTTTCCTCTTTTGAAATCATTTTTCAGTAGGAACTTTGAAAGCCTTTCATACCAGGCTCTTGGTGCTTGTTTAAGCCCATAGAGAGCTTTATCAAGCTTATAAACATGATTTGGAAATTTAGGATTTTTGAAACCCGGAGGTTGTTCAACAAACACCTCCACATTTAAGAAACAATTAAGAAAAGCACATTTCACATCCATTTGATAGAGTTTGAAACCCATAAAAGAAGCAAAAGCTACTAGGATTCTAATAGCTTCTAATCTAGCTACAAGAGCAAAGGTTTCTTCGAAATCAATACCTTCCTGTTGTTTGTAGCCTTTCACAACCAATATAGCCTTGTTCCTTAATATGGTGCCATGTTAATCAAGCTTGTTCCTGAACACCCATTTGAGCCCGATAACTTTCTTTCCCTTAGGATTTGGCTCAAGGTGCCAGACTTTGTTCCTTTCGAACTCATTGAGTTCCTCTTGCATGACAACTATCCAATCAGCATCTCTTAAGGCTTCTTGATGATTTCTTGGCTCTAGGATGGACAGAAAAGTATGGAATGCACAGTAGTTCCTCATTTGTGATATTGTTTGAGTTCCTTTTCCTATATCACTGATAATGAGATCAGTTGGATGGGAACCTTGATACTTGAATGGCCTGGGTTGAAATTCCCTATCTGGAACTCCAATTTGAGGAGCTTCTGTTTCTGTTCCTCCTACTTCTTCTACTTGTTCCTCATTTACCTGTTCGTCGGGTTGAGGAACTTCTCCATTTTCTTGATGATTCTCTTCTGGAGAAGGCTGCTTTTCCTTAGTTTGCTTTTGATTCTCTTCTTCATCCCTGTCTCTTATCAATCCAATTTCAAAATCATTATCATCTTCTTGTTCCTGTACACTCACAAACTGGTTAACCTCATCAAAGATTATATGAATGCTTTCCTTAACACACATTGAGCTTTTATTGTAAACTCTATAAGCTTTGCTATCAGAGGCATATCCTATAAATATAGCCTCTTCACTTCTTTCATCACATTTCCCTAGGTTTTTCTTACCATTATTATTTACAAAGCACTTACAACTAAAGGCTCTAAGATGAGATATGCTTTGCTTCCTTCCCTGAATAGTTCATAGGGAGTCTTGTTGAGGATACTTCTGATTGTCACCCTGTTGAGGGTGTAACATGTTGTATTCACGGCTTCAGCCCAGAAGTTCCTTGGAAATCCACTTGGAATCAGCATCGTTCTAGCCATTTCCTCAAGGGTTCAATTCTTCCTTTCTACAACTCCATTCTGTTGGGGAGTCCTTGGAGCTGAGAAGTTATGATTCATGCCATTTTCCCTGCAAAACACATCGAATCTTTAGTTCTCAAATTCAGTTCCGTGATCTGATCTGAGATGGACTATGGAGTGACCACTGTTTTTCTGTATTTTCTTGGCAAAAGCAACAAACTCATTAAAAGTTTCATCTTTACTAGCAGGAAAAATAACCCAAGTGAATATAGAATAATCATCAACAATAACCAACACATACTTCTTGCCAACCTGCTATGAATTCTCATGGGACCACACAAATCCATATGGATTAGTTCCAAAGGCTTTGTAGTGCTTACCATTTTCTTCAATTTAAAAGATGAATGAACATGCTTGCCTTTCACACATGCATCACAAACTTTGTTCTGTAGGAACTTGATAATAGGAAGTCCCACAGCCAAGTTCCTCGACCTCAGTTTGTCTAGTAATGAAAAGCTAGCATGTCCAAAACGTTTATGCTATAACAGGGGATCATCTTCAATAACACTCAAACAAGTAAGGTTGTTCCTTAGGATTAAGTTGAGGTCAACTGTATAAGTGTTCCCTCTTCTTGTTCCTTCTAGAACAACCTTTCCTGACTTGTTGTTGATGATGTTGCAAGAGTCATAAGTAAAACTTACATAGTTTCCTTTATCACAGAATTGTGATATACTGAGTAAATTGTGCATTAGGCCCTCGACCAGGAACACATTATCAATGGAATGAGATTTAGATCTTCCAATTTTGCATTTTCCAATGATCTCGCCCTTCTTATTATCCCCAAAGGTTACTGTTCCTCCAGGGTAGTCTTCTAGTGAGAGGAATTTTGATTTATAACCTGTCATATGCTTTGAACAACCGTTGTCGAGATACCACGAGTTGTTCCCCCTCACTAGGACCTACAAGAAAACTAAGCATTAGGATTAGGAACTTAGCTTTCCTTGGGTTCCTTAGACGTGGATGCAATATTAGTTTTCTTGACCCACACTTGTTTTACATTTCTTTTATCAGCTTCTTCTCTTATCCTACAATATCCATAGAGATGTCCAGTCTTACCACAAAAAGTGCATACCTTCATGCTAGGAAGCTCAACATATTTCTTTTGCTTACCTTTCCTCTTGGTCATATAACCAAGGCCTTCAGTTCTTTTTCCTTGAGCTTCAGCTATCCACTCAGGTATGACTTTTGGGTCAATACTTCTATCCTTTCTAGCATTCAGTTCTGATTCAAGTTGATCCTTTTGGGTTTTTAAAGTAGAAAGCTCATTTTTCAAATTTTCAGAATCAACATTGAATTTAAGCAACTGATCTCTTGAGGAACTGCTAGAACTGATATAAGAATTTATGAGCTTATACTGAGTTAGTTCAACACTCAGAAGAATACTTTCATGTTTAATTATATCAACTATCTCAGTTATGTGTTTGTATTTAAAATCAAGTTCTCTTAGTTTGCTTTAAGACTTGGCATAAGCTGTTTCCAACCAAGCACCATGTTCTTTGCAAACCTTAAGAGGTTTTTCACATTTATTCAACTTCACACATGTATCTCTAAAGAATTCTTCTTTTTCTAGACATATATCTATCAAGACATCTTTAGAGAGAGTTTTAAGCTGTTTAGGATCAAGAAATACCTCTTTCTAGAGTTCCTCAAGGTAAGCCTTTTCATCATCTGATTTGGCCATCAAACAAAGATTGGCCGTCTCCTGTTCTGGTTGGTCATCATCTTCTTCTTCACTTTCTGAGTCTCCCAGGCTGTTATCATTGGCTTCCTTATGTCTGACTTTGATAGAGTGCTTTGCTGAATTTTTCTCTTCCCTGTTCCTTAGCCTTTCCTTTCCCTTTATCATTTTCCCAAAGGGGACAGTCTCTGATAAAGTGATCTGGGGATCCACACTTGTGGAAGCTGTAGTTAGGCTTTGGATTTGAGGTCTTTTTCCCGAAGTTCCTTAAGGTTCGGCCTTTCTTGAACATCCTTTAGAATCTTCGCACAATTAGGGCAGCCTCATCCTCGTCCACTTTTGAGTCCTCCTCCTCATCAGCCTTAAGAGCCAGTCCCTTAATCCTCGTGGGTTCATTATTGAATCCAAGGTGTAGCTCATGAGTCATGAGAGAACCTGCTAGTTGTTCAATATTGAAATTTTTAAAGACCTTCGTTTCCTGAAGGGCTGTCACCTTAGCTCTCCATCTCTCATCTTGTGGAAGACTTCTAAGAACCTTCCTAACTTGCTTATCTGTAGGAATCTGTCTACCAAGGGAAACCAACTCATTTATGATGTTAGTAAAGCGTGTTAACATCTCTTGAATAGTTTATTTAGGCTGCATTTCAAATCTTTCATACTTAGACATAAGTAGATGGATTTTTTAGCGTTTAACTTCATTAGTTCCTTCATGAGTAATCTGCAGCAAATCCCAGATTTCCTTAGCGTTCTTGCACCCCATAACACGATTGTGTTCGTGAGGTCCAAGTCCACAGTGGAGCAATTTCACAGCCATAACATTTATTTCCATTTTATCAAAGTCCTCTTTTTCATATTCAGACATATGCTTAGAGATTACCTCGTTCTGAGCGTTTGTTTTGGTGACTTCGAAATCACCAACCTCGATGACCCTCCAGACTTGGTAGTTCTTTGCCTTGATAAAGATTTCCATGCGGTTCTTCCAGTAATTATAGAACTTGACGTTGAACATAGGAGGCCTCTGAGTTGAGTATCCTTCCACGAGCTTTTCATGAGTATTCATTTTCTCCAAGACCTTTCTTGTTCAGGGTTTCCTGATTTTCCTAGAAAGGCTCTGATACCAATTGTTGTTTTAAAGAATACTACAAGAAGGGGGGGTTGAATTGTAGTATGTGAATTTAGCCTAAAATTTTGTGGAATTAAAATTAAGTTAGCCGAAGGAACTGAAAGATTAACTAAAGGAACTAAAGAATGCAAGAGAGATTTTACGTGGAAAACTCCTTGGCCCTAACAAGGAGAAAAACGACGACCACTTGGGATTTTGGGAAAAGAATCTTCACTATAATAGGGAAAATGATCCTATTACAAGCTAACAACTCAAACTCAAGTTCCTCTACGAACTTTTAGACCCTGAGGAACAAGTCACCAAACTTGTTACTCTTCTCTTCTCTTTCTCTCTTCTCACTTCTCTGTTCTCTCTTCTCTTTCTCTTCTCTATCTCACTTCTCTTTCTCATACACAAACGTTCACTCGAACTTCCCCATTCCCCAAAACAAACTCTAGTATAAGAACATTAAGAACACTCTAATGAACTTGTGTTGAATTGACACTTGACTCGATTTGAAGCTTGAAAACTTATGTGAGCAAAGGTGAGTTTTTCCATCAGATTTCAAAGACTATTTATAGAGCAATAAACATATTGGAAAAACCTCTTTGTGCAGCAAATCCATCACGCCACTACTCACACCCACTAAGAAGATCATATCCCTTGAATTAAGGAACCATGAACTCCTCAATGTGCAAAACCATGACTGAAGAAGAACATGGGAGAGTAGGCTGCAAGTTTTGAGAAACATGGAGATTTTATTTTTTGTAAAATCAGAAATAAAAATAAAACTCCTCTTTCTTGGTTAAAAAGATAATCGTTTAGAAAATAACAACTTCTTTAAAAATTAGCTAGCACAAAATTATCTTTTTAGACCAATTCCACACAGTATTTCGAATGCAACTTAATATCTTATACTTACATAAATCCTAAAATATATAAATATATTTAGTCTTCATGTTCTCTGATGAAGCTTTGACTCCGAGGCTTCTGTTCCTTGGGAGAAACTTCTCTTCTCTGATGAGGTTTCTTCTTTGAAACTGTTCCCTGAGGGAACCTTCTCTTCACCAATCTTCATTTCTGAAGCGCCAGTTCCTGTGAAGGAACTCTTCTATATGCATAGCTCTGCTTCTAGCCTTCTTGTTCCTCATAGTATTCTTACAAGACACTTCATTCTCCTAGTCTTTGTAACTGAGTACATACTTAAACAATCAAGCTCTTATTAGTTTGTAAGTAAGTGAGGTTGTGTCATCATCAAAATCATTAAGCCCAACATCCCACACTTATAAAAAAAAAAAAAAAAAGCAAAGAAAAGAGAGAAAAAAAAAAAAAAAAAAAAAAAAAGAAGAAAGAGCTTAAAAGTGAGAAAACTCAAGCCTAAAAATACAAGGATTCAAAAGCAAGGTTGCACACCTTGGGGGCTTATCGAGGGTCTTGAGCCTTTATCCCTTTCTTCTACAAACATTTAGCCTAACCACGTTACAACCCTTAAAAAGACCTTTTGAGGTATACACATACTTGTGCAAGGTTTGGCTAGAGCTACGTTCGGCCTGATGCCAAACGGATACGTAGGCAACCTCACGTTGGGGCGCGACCGTAATAAAATGCATTCGTATTCACATTCACACATCATGATCATATAAAAGGATCCCCAATGATCATCCCTATCTACTTAGAGCTAGACTAGGGGGCTTGATCCCTACATTGTTAGCCTACCTAGCCTAAGAGTCACCATCTTTTGGCTCTTCTCAAAATAATATCTTTCCACACACTTAGCCTTTGCGGCGTAACCTTGGTGTCACTTTTACACACTGCACATATACATGACCAAATCCCTTAGGAACCCTTTTTCATGAAATCTTAACACAACACTGAAGCATGTCTTGTTAAAATCACACATCAATCATCATTGCATCACAAAGTATGAAGTACTTAGCCTCCGCGCCTAAATAACCAAAATACTTTCATTATCGAGTCAACTAGGATAGTCTAAGATGTTACAACCCTTGTATTATGAGAGACAGCATCAACAGATTAAGCTCATTCAACATGCACCATCAAAAACATTGATTCTTTTTCGATTCTTTCTTTTCGGGAGAAAGTCGGTACCCTCAACAAAAAATGACGGAAATTTTTTTCTTTTTCGCATTTTTAGTCAAGCACATCATAATACAATGCACACACAAATCATGACTCACACGTGTTAATTCACCTTGGGTCAACCCTAAGAAAAAACATCAAGCCTTAGGTCAATCCTAAGAAAAACACTAGGAATGTCTTTTAGAAACGAGTGAATAGTCCTTAAAAAGCTCTTTAGTTCAGAGACGAGTAACATTAACGGCAGCAAAGCACGACCACAACATCAAAATAGCAAAATGGTGTTCCTTAGCTTATGGAAGGTTGTCATAACAACGAAAGCAACAACAAATCGGTTACCTACAGAGACTTGTGCTCGATGGTGCAAGATACGTGTTTCTTAACTCTGTTATTTGTTTTAACTAACGCTAGTTTGCAGGTATTGGCGTTACAAGAATGATTAGGGATCGCAGAACGTTCTAAATCATTCTCCGTCCCTATCGCTACTTTGACTTTTGTTTTCAAAACTTGCATTTCTCCAAACTAAGTCAAAGTGGGGGCTTCTGTAGACACCCATTTGTGTCTCCCCAAAACCAAACCCAATGATGAATACCTTTCACGTCGAATTATAATCGAATGAAGTGAAAGTGTGGAAATTCTAGTGTTGCGGTTAGTTTTTATAAAATTCTCTCTTTCTGTTTTCCAAACCTTTTTTATTTTATGAAAAAAATCAATCCAGTATAGTTTGGTCCATATTATATAGGGCTCGAAAAGAGCTTTCCAACGATATATTATAAGCCTAATTCCGATGAATAATTAGGAAGTTATGGCCAAATTACTAAACTCGACCCAGTTTGATCTTTATATGTGGCCCAATGATCTAGAGGAGGGCTTATTATGAATTATCATTCCTAATGCAATTAGGATTGATTATAGCCTTCTATAATGTTCTGGAAGGTTCTTTTGAATCCTAATGTGACTAGGGTTGATAATTAAGTTTTATGAGTTTTAATTGGAATAAAAGAAGTGTTTTAAATGAAGTTACAATTTTACACCTCGAAAGGATTTTTACAACTTAATTTTACCAGAAAATAGAAAACGTGTGGAAAAATTGCCTGTAGCGCCGAACGTCAGGCTGTCGCCTCGCGACAGACTCTGTCGTGCGGCGACAGGGGCTGTTGTGGCGACAGCGGCGTATTTTATTCATCTTTGAACTCCGATTCTTTTTTTATCTAATCCGGACCATTTTCATTATAAATAGCGTCCTTAGACCTCCGTTTTTTTAATCATCAATTCTCAATCTAATTATCACCAATTCTCATTAAGAAATTCTTGATACTCTCTCTCTCTTTCTATACCAACCCTTTTCACAAACAAAATTCCGCACTCACAAGATCTATACACACCTAGCATAATTCGAAGTTGCCTTCGCCCTAAACGTGAAAGAAAGAGGTACGAGGCAGCTAAGTAAGTGCTTTAATTGTTTTATTGGTATTATGATAAACAAAACATGTTTAGATTGTTATTTTGATTCCTAATATCAAGTATGAGTAAAAGGATGTTTCCTATTTTCTTTCCTAATAGCATGTTAGTATCATGTTAGGGTTAAAGCTTTAATATTGTTTTTTTTATATGTTTAGTGACATGCTAGGGTTTGTTATTAATCTTGTTATTATCATGCCTAGGATCTTGCTATTATTATGCTTTAACATGTTTATGTCTATGATGATGATTATTATGATTATTATGTTGCTTGATTATATTTATTGTTATTGCTTGGTCACGCCTTTTATGCATGCTTAAAGGGAATTGGTACTTGTTATCATGCTTAATAAGATAATTAATAATCTTGTTTAGGGTTAATATGATTATAATTCAAGTGATCGTCAATAATAGTTTTATTTGTGCATTAATATTAAACCAATATAGATAAAAAGGTTTAGGGTTAACCCATTGATTGCATGTTAGTCAGAAAGCGCACATGAATATGAGTAGAATAAAGTAGAGGCCTATTATTAGGGAAAGTTCAGTCTCTTTTAGGTTGGATTTATACCTTCATCCCCAAACTTCCAGTCTTGGTTCCAGACCTATTGGAGTTAACTATCTCTTGGATCGTTAAGGGGTGTAAACTTCACCCTGTGAACGGTTTACAAGTTCCTAAAACTTATTGGCGACTCTTTTGCTCTAGATTCCTTCCCTTTGGACGCTACCATGCTTAAGTGTATGATCACATAAAAATGCTTGAAATATTCCCTACAGGCGGCATACAATGTCCAACCTTTGGACTGCCAGCACCGTCTGCTCAAACTTGGTGAACAAACTTCTCCGTTCACTAAGGAGATAACCGAGGCAGCACAACCGGCCAAGTTTTAAAATGTGTTTCTAGGTGCCTATGATGGTACCTCTTACCCGGAAGACCACCGCATGGCCTACTCTAA